ATAGATCGACGCTAAACTGTAATCAGCAAACCGTGTTCATATATGAGCTTTGTCTGCAGCATTTCCTTTCGCCAAAAAGAAGCAAGGTTAAAGAAGAAGAATTTTATCACAACAGTATCAACATGGATTGATCATTAGGAAAATATTCATAATCAATACTGCTGCAGTGGGTTCAATATTCACTGGGTCCCTGACGTATATAGGTGCACCGTAACCTAATGATGAAAAATAATATCGATTTTTCACAAAATATATTTATTTTCAATATAATCCTCTTCCTTGTTACTGAATTTAATTAAGTGATGAATATTAATCACATAATCTTACTTTCATATAAATCATAAGCATGGTGTTTTTTACTAAAGCTCAAGTCATAGTGCAACTAACGAGCAGAAATCTCATCGTTCCAGTGAGATCGAATATTTTTAGTTTCGCTTTGGGTGTGTGGTAGTTTGCTGCTAAAGTTGGCTGTATTTAACATGTATAAACGCTATTATAGTGTATCAAATCAAGTTGATGGAAATAAAAAGAAAAGGAAAATAATCTAAATGATATCGGAAGAGTATATATATATATATATATATATATATATATATATATATATATATATATATATTAAACAATACACGGACAAAACAATAATGATATGTCGTCGTTGCTTGAAATCATCCATGTAAACAAAAAACAGACAATCATTTTATATATATATATATATATATATATATATATATATATATATATATATACTCAGAGTTAAACTGTAGGAAAAACAAACGCGTTTCGTCCAATGTGAACTTTTTCAAAGCAAAATACGAAATTTTTCGTTTTTGCTTTGAGAAAGTTCACATTGATAAAAACGTCAGCAACTACTACATTTTCCTATATTCATATATATATATATATATATATATATATATATATATATATATATATATATATATATATGAAGAAATATAGTTTTAAGGTGTGCTATATTTATGGGATAAAGTGTTCAATATCAGAGATAAAGCATGTGTAAATATAAAAGTGAACATCGAAGTCAACACTCAATGACAACAGATTGTTTCATGCTAGACGCAATCAGCAGGCCACCTAAAAATTGTGTCGTCTCTGTTTGTCGACTTCAATGTACACTTATATATATATATATATATATATATATATATATATATATATATATAAATAATTCAAGAAAGACATTTGGGTCACTAACACCAAAAAAGAGATGGTCTCATATCGAGAATATTTAACATCGAAAAATAAGAGAAATGAAATGAATTATTTTTGATAAAATGTGGAAATCTCCACCCTTTGCCTGATGACAGTCGCAAGACCGGAAACACGTGTAGCGAAAGTATGGAAAATAAAGCATAACATTTTTTTTTTAAATCCACATTACAACCAAAAACGTTTGCGGTTTCTTTTTTAATATACACATTTTTCTCTCGTTGGAACTTCTATAATCTTTCCTCATATATATATATATATATATATATATATATATATATATATATATATATATATATATAAAAATTTTTAAAATTCTTGTCATCCTCCGTTCGTGCGCATGCGCAGTCCTTCAACAAATTTAGTCTGACGAAGTCATAAAGGACAAAAACGCGTCACCCGAACATTTTTTCCACTTAGTCATACATTTTCCCCAATATATATATATATGTGTGTGTGTGTGGCGCGCCCGTCTGCGTGTGTGTGTCTCCGTGTGTGTGTGTGTGTGTGTGTGTGTGTGTGTGTGTGTGTTTTTTTTTTTTTTTACTGGCTTGTATAGCAGACGTTATAATTTCGCGGCCGAAATCATTATACTTGTAAAGTTTCCTCTTCTCTTTGCTTAAGTTCCTTAGTTTGTCGCACGTCTGATTCGCTTGACACTGGTATCGAATACAAAGATGGCTGCTGTGATTAACCCACATCCTGTTTACATCTCGTTTATTCTTCATCTCTTTCTGTTGCTTTCTTTTCTTTCTTTTTTTTAATTCCGCACAAAGTAGGAGGCATTTTATTTTATTGATTTAAATAATTATAATATCATTTGGGCAGCATTTAGCAAAAGAATCTTCAAGTATCGACCATTTGCCTCGTCTAAAATCAGTTGATCTGACGTCGAAAAAGAATGACATTCAAATGAAAAATATTATTCAGGGAGGAAATCTAAATCAAATAAAAAGATATGATCTTAAACAAATGAACAAAATGCAAATATGATAATTTCCGTGTGAATGTCTGTTAGAACAGAGAAAGGCTTTTTCAATATAATTCTGTTTTTCTTTGTTGTTTGACGTTTTATGTATGAAGGCTGTTTCTGGGAAGAAACTCTTTGCAATGATCTCAATCATTTTTCTCTTTCTGTGGCCGCTCTCGAATGGTTTTGGGAGTGGAATAATAACAGCTGGACTACAAATGGTTTACGTACGTCTTTTCGTCCATTCCTGCTTTTTTTTTTTCTTTTATTATCTTTTTATCTATTTCGATTTCTTTCAATTTCTTTCTCATTATTATTTATTTTCGCCTCTCCTTTCTCTTTTTCTTTACCGTCTCCCTCTTTTCCTTCTTCCCTCCTTCTCTTCTTTTCTTTTCTCTTCTTTGCTACTTTCTTTTCTCGTTTCCTTCTTTCTTCCTTCTTCCTGTCTTCATTTCCTTTTCCTTTCTATATTTGTTTTTTTTTTTCTTTTTTCTTTCATTCCTCCTTTGCTTCGTTCTTTTGTTTCCTTTCTTGCACCCTTCCTTTTTTCATTCCTTCTTCTAATCTGGATTCTTTTTCATTCTCTTCCTTCTTTTCTCCATTCCTCCTCTTCCTTCCTTTCTTTCCCCCTTTTTTCGCTTCTATCCTCTCTCTTAACTTTTCTCCCCCCCCCACCTTTCTTATTTTACCCCGTTTACTTCCCTCCTTTTTTCCTTCCTGCGTGGGTTTTTGGCTCGTTTCTTTTCTTTTCTTTTTAATTCTCTCCTGCTTCGTTTTCATTTTATTTCCTTTCTTTCTTTATTTTCCTTCTTTTTCTTCTTTCTTTCGTTCATCTTTTCCTTTTTTCTTCCTTATTTTCCTTATTTTCTTTTTTAGTTTTCTTTTCTTCAGTTCTTTCGTTTCCTTGCGTCGTTTTTCTTTCTACCTTTCATCCTATCTTTCTTTCTCCCCCTCTCTTCCTTTCTTGTTTCGTTTTCTTCCGTCTTTTTCCTTCTTTCCTTTCTTCATTCGTAATACGCTTGTTGCTTTTTCAAGCGTTTATATCTTTGTGGTCTTTTATGGAAAGTGATTAATTCCTTTATACTTTTAATGTTACAATGTTTTGCTTTTTTTTCTTTTTGTTATTTTTTTCTTCATATATATAGGTTTCCTATGTTCTGAATATGAAGTAGTGACTATTTATCATTTTATTTTTCGCCATCTAGAACTGATTTTCCGACGGTTTGTTTTTAATCGTGATTTGACTAGCAGCATGGCACGGCGATGCCCGTGCTTGATTAAAAAATCGTACGACTCATACAGCAATCGCTATCACTTGACTTAAAATATTTTTCCCTTCCTTGTCTTTAAAGGAGTGCACTTTGCCGTGCTGATGTTGCTACATGCCTTACTTCTTGCCTATCTCACACTTCAATTTTTTTCTAAGGTCTATACTAAACATTAAATCTGTTACGACAAAAAGAACTAAACAAAATGAACACAAAACGATCAGCTTTAAAAATGGACTCGGAACTGGAAAAACCGAATGAAAAAAGAATGTTAACAACAAATACTTTTTCACACCCAACCCAGTTTTGCGGAATCATAATCAACGTTGGGTCTAAGCAAGCGAATAAGCCAATTGGAGTGCCATGCAGATTTAAATTTTTCCCACTTGTCACGAATGCAGCTATCGATTTTTTTTTGCATGCTAGCATGCTAGTTAACATTCGTTTCAGTCAGCTGTTGGGTCTCACGCTGGCCAATAGAATCTTCTTGCCTATTAATGGCAGCCAGCTATAGGCTCTCACTCTGGCCAGTAGAAAATGGCCGCAAACTACATGAAAGCTGCTGTAGAAGCATGAAAAAATCGATTATTTCCATTATCGATAGGAGTTGGGAAATGCAATGTCGGTCTTGGCCTTCCAGCTAACTTGGAGCATGTGCATGTAAATTTTGGTGCAAATCCGTCGAAAATTGTGGCCATGCATTCGTTACACACACACACATCCTGCCTTTTCTAGATAGAGATTCCTGAAATACCATACATAGATATTAGATACTCTGAAGTTCGGAAGATTCACCAACATGTGAAAATCCTCCCCAGCAGAAAAAAAAGTAAATGATTGTTAACGAGTTTGAAACACTTACATAGGATTTAAGGATGAAAACGTTTCTTTTGATTTATGCAGACAGTCGCATTTAAATATCAGATTGTAAAACGATAACAAGTCCTGGTTCAAAGATTAGCATCGGTTCTTTTCTTTTTATGTGCCATGTTCTTTCAGGACGTAGGCGATCATGGCGCTCCACCTCCTTCTATCTCTTGAAGCTCTTAACAAGTTTCTTTCCTCTGAAAACTGCCTCTGAAATGTGGTTAGTAGCAATAATAATATATGTATACAGTCTGGGAAATTCAGTATCGAAGTATGACTTCCTTCTGAGTCTACGTGCTCGCAACTGTGACTCCTACAAAGCGGTTACCTCACAATCTCACTCTCTCACTGTATCTCTGTCACTCACTGACTCCAGGGTAATCACCGGCAGCCGTACAAGTACACACTAGGCGAGTCCACTTGTATGAAAAAGGGGTGGACCCCTTAACACTTTTTCTTTCTTTCTGTCTGTCTCTCTTACTGTCTTTGTTTCTTTCTTTGCCTTTCGTTCAGACCGTCTTTGCCTTTCTATCTTTCTGTCTTTGCCTTTCTATCTTTCTGTCTTTCTTTGTTTTTCTTTCTTTTATTTCGTTCAGATTATCTTTCTTTCTTTCTGACTGTCTTTTTTCTTTCATTCTTTGTCTTTCGTTCAGACTCTTTAATTCTGAATGTCTTTCTTTCTGTTTTTCTTTCTGTCTATCTTTCTTTATAATTTACTTTCTTTCTTTCTTTCTTTCTTTCTTTCTTTCTTTCTTACAGTCTTTCTTTGCTTCTTTGTTTCTTTGTCTTTCGTTTACACAGTCTTTCTTTCTTTCTTTCTTTCTTTCGTTCAGACTGTCTTTCTTTCTGATTTTCTTTCTTTTTCTTTTGTTCAGGCTGTCTTTCCTTCAAACTGTCTTTATTTCAAACTGTCTTTCTTTATTTATTTCTGAATGTCTTTCTTTCTTTGTCTTTCGTTCCAACTGTCTTTCTTTCTTTCTGACTTTCTTTGTCTTTCGTTCAGGCTTTTTTTCTTTCTTTCTTTTTTTTCCCTTTCTTTGTCTTTCGTTAAGACGGTCTTTCTTTCCTTCGCTTTCGTTCAGACTTTCCCACTTTCTTTCTTTCTTTCTTTCTTTCTTTCTTTCTTCCAGTCTTTCTTTGCTTCTTTGTCTTTCGTTTAGACAGTCTTTCTTTCTTTCGTTCAGACTGTCTTTCTTTCTTTCTTTCTTTGTTTCTGGGTGTCTTTCTGGTGTCTTTCTTTGTCTTTCTTTCTGAATGTCTTTCTTTCTTTCTGGCATTCTTTGTCTTTCGTTCAGGCTTTCTTTTTCTTTCTTCGTTTTTTTCTTTCTTCCTTCCTTCCTTTCTTTCTGGTTATCTTTCTTTATCTTTCGTTAAGACGTTCTTTCTTTCCTTCTCTTTTGTTCAAACTCTCTCACTTTCTTTCTTTCTTTCTTTCTTTCTTTCTTTCTTTCCTTCTTTTTTTCTTCCTTCCTTCCTTCCTTTCTTTCTTTCTTTCTTTCTTTCTTGCTTGCTTTCTTTCTTCTTTCCTTTCTTTCTTCCTTTCTATCTGCCTCTCTTTATTCAGCATCCTCCACTATTTTCAATTACCTTTTTCTTTATTTTCCACATCATAATCATTTTTTTTCTTTTTTTCCTACTAATCCTTTCTTGATTTCTATCATTTTCATTTTGATACGTCCTTTTCTTCTACGTTTACTTCGATTTCCCCTACTTTCTTTCCTTCTTTGAATTTTCTTTTTTATTATTCAGATCGCCATGATTAAACTTTAATATCAACCCTTTTCGCACTTTCTCATCAGACATATTTTTTTTAAATAATTCTAATCTAATTCCTTTTCTCATTTTGTCTCTCCTTCCTACGACCATCTTTAGCAAACTCCCATTATTAAATACACAACCGAACACATATGTAAATAAATGATCAATCTAGAAAGTATAGAAATGACTGTCTAAACAACAAGGAAATATTTTTTTTATTATAATCTCTGTTCATATCACTTATTTTCACAGGATTTATACGAGGAAATCTTTAATGCGAATCTCGACATATTTTTTCTTTTTGCTTTCTATAACACCTAATAACTTCGTTTTTTCAGTGTAAAGTTTTTCTCTCTCCGAAGTCCTTCACAATATACGCTTCTGTTATTAATTTTCCATTTCTTCTATTGTGTTCTTTCCTTTGCTACACTTCGATTAGAGATTGCTGGATATTCCTAATACAGTTTTACCTATCAACTCCAAAGTTAAGGCACGGTGGAGTAATGGATAGCGGATTCGGAGAGCCGAGTTCGAATTCGAGTCGAATCCATTACATTCACTTACGTGCTAATACCCTTGGGAAAGGTGTGAATCCTCTTTCTTCTCCCTCCAGCTATGGGTAAATAGCAGGATAGACTGGGTTCTATAGCCTTGGATGGCAACTGGTCTAGGAGAAGGACAACACTGAATTCAAACCTGCTCTTAAAGGAGGGTGAATGGAGTCTCTCTGAGCCTTGGTTGGCAATCCATTTAGTGTTGGTGTCACGATAAAAACACCATTGATAGCCCTAGCGAAGCATCAAGAATTCAGCTATTTGACAAGATCATGAACTACGCCAATCAAAGTATTGATGAGTTCAATCTCGGCTGATGCCAGAAGAAAGTTAAGCAACATAATTCATCACCAGAAATCGATGAGGCGACATTTTAAAATTTCAGCATTTAACGGAGAAAACTTGCATGCATTTTGTGAAAAGAAAAAAAAATCGATTTCCGAATCTTTTTTTTTATTAGGATTATTTATTTAATCCGTAATGTTAGCTTTGAAATTCATTGCCAAAATATTCTGGGATAAATGAATAACAAAAACATTTTTCTTGAATCTTCAGTATCCGTTATATGCAACGGTTACTTGGTAAGAGGGAAATAATTATAGCTATACTAGTTACGAGAGTGTGGGGGAAGTTCTTGATCAAAACCATTTCACAAAATCTGACCATTCGGATTGTTTCTTGGGCGGGACTGAGCTGTTACGTGTTATAAATTATATATATATATATATATATATATATATGTTTTTTTTTCCTTTATCCCTCTGATGAAGCCGTTAGGGGCGAAATGCATTATCAGACATAAATTTCAAAAAATATATTTTCATGAATTTTTTTACAAATGTCAATAATTTTAACACTGTCAGGATTACATACTCAAATTTATTACATAATGTCGGCATGGAGAACGCATAAATAAAAACAATTCTTTAAATTATTTTCTACCCATTCTGAAGAATTTACATCTCAAAATTCGGACACTTAAAAGCGGATATATATATATATATATATATATATATATATATATATATATATATATATATATATATATATATATGATCTAATTAAAGAGATACAATCAACTATGTATATGAGCGATTACGTAAACATATGGGTGACTAAATAACCATTTATTTAATATATGTATATATATATACATACACACACACACACACACACACACACACACATATATATATATATATATATATATATATATATATATATATATATATATATATATACATATATATATATATATTACATGTTTTAGAAGCTCCAAAAATAAATAAGGGACCATGAGTCTTATATAAAATTATTTTATTTTTCTATTTTTTAATAAAACATTTTCCCTATTAATATATTACTAGTGTACCTTTGTCATAAAAAGTTACGAAATATGTTTTAATCGCCATGTTTATGTTGTTGATCATTCGCTTCAATGAAATGAATATTATTTACTCCACGAATTCTTGTTTTGTGCCATTCTTGCGTGTCTCATGGAATCAGTATTTTCATCCCACCTTCTGTTGCGTGACTCTTCTGTTCCTTGTCGAAGATGTTCTTCCATTCACATTCTCTCGCGTTAGATTCTTCTTCTATTTCATTTTTAGACTTTCTCTCATAGCAGCCCGTCTCACATTAGCCTCTTCTATTTTCTGTCTGTAATATAACAGTGAAATAGAAATATCTCTCAGAAGAAATAGATTACCAAGAAAACGACAAAGACACCAACGACAAAGCTTACTTCAAGACCAAGTTGAAGCAAGACTCAATAGACAAAGGTATCTGACCGCCTCACATGAAAGTCTTGAACAAATATGACTCCAATCTAAGAAACGTATGAGTGAAGGAACTGATTAATTTACCGGTTCATTTGTTCTAATTTTTTCCAAATGCAGATGAATATTTTATTTGTATAGAATATGAAAACGACTAAGAGATGTCACTGATAAATTTACTAACTTAAGTTAATTTACCACAATTCACAATACATATGGGACAAGACATATATAAATACACATTGATAATTATTATATGTGTTGTGGATTCCGAGATGAAATTCGGTCTCCAATGAATGACAAACGCAAGTATTAAAGATAAGAAATTAAATGTATTTACACAATAATACAATGGGTATATTGTTAGTAAATCCAGGAACGCGGTTAGTCGTAATAATATATATATATATATATATACATTTTCGAAGAGTCTACGTGCTTGTAACTGACTTCTACAAGCGGTTACCTCACACCATTACTCTACCTCCAACTCAATCACAATGTCTGTTCACTCTCCAAATCTCTCTCAATCTCCGTATATTCTGACTGACTCGGGGTATTTAACGGCAGCAGTCCCAGTAACACTTTGGTCGAGTCCACTTATATCAAAAAGGGGTGGACCCCATAACAATATGGTTTGATTATCAATCTTACTCTATCTTAATAATGCTTATTTTAATCACTTGAACATATATTCGTAACTATATTTCTATAAGCTTTTTTCGCAATACGAATTAATATTGAACATTCTAGATCTGTCAATTAGATAACTTACAACTAGCCTTTTCTTTACCCAGAATGTCATAAATAGAACAGCGTAAATTTTAATATATCTGATATCATAAAGAAAGATGTTAATACGAAAATTGATAAAAGGATTACAAAAAATCAATTCCAAGCAATGTGATTAACATTAGAAATTGAATTGAATTCCTGTTTATTGAATTGGAATGGTAAGTCTTTGAGGAATTTTTGTTTGTTTTTAAGTTAGACATAGATCCAATTCGACAATTATTTCGCATAAACATCGACACCAGAAACTGTTATGTAACCACAAAAAGGTATCTATTTAATATTTAATGAAACCGATCCCGGGATTTATAAAGATTAATAACGGCCAAAAGGTCAATCTGACTTTAACTAAGAAAAAAGAGTCTTGGGAATTTTAGAAAAGTTTAAATTTAATCAAAACTAGAATATATAAAATAAAACAGTTTGAAAATAGTTTATCCAATAGAATAAATCACTATATTTAAAAACAAATGCAGCAGGGATAAATTGAAAATCAAGATAAATCACTCTTTGTTAGCAATTAATGCAATATTACCATCAGAATAGTGTTATTATATTTTCTTCTATGTGTCATGCCGCTTCCGGGATTAGGCTTTCATGACTGGCTTAGTAAGATTTATCCGTTTGCTATCTCACCTAATCCCGGTTCTACCAACACACGCTCGTTAGGTAGATTATTCCCTGTTTTCCCGTGTTCCTTATGTCTTCGATATGTCCTGTTAGTGTTAAATTCTCCAAGCTCTCTTTCCTCTTTATGTAGAGATTTAACCTCTTTCTCAGTAGAAGTGTTTTTTTTGTTTGCATTTTCCTTAAATCTTTGTCGTTACTCACATGCTAAATCCATAGTATTCTCAGTATTCTTTTTTAGAACACTATTTCTTTCGTCTCAAATCTCTTCATCTAATGTTAGAAGGTTGGTCTGTATTGACAGCTATATATGGAGAACTGGTTTTACATAACATGTCAGCCCTCGTATCTTTCTTTCTAAGCAAAAGTTCCCATTTCTTAATAATTTCGTCTTTTGGAAAGCTTTTTTTTTTCTCTATCCCAATTAACCTTCGGATTTCGGTGATGCATTTTCAATTCCTCTATTAAAATACTAGATATTTATTTATTTATTTACTTGATTTTGCTATCTTCATTTTATAATGCTAAGTTAGTGTTATTCCTTTTGCTGAAAATCATAAATACAGTCTTCTTACAATTGATGATTAGTCCTTTCTTCTCGCTTTCCTTTACTACCTTCTGTGGGAGTTCCTGTAGTTTTCTTTTTGTGTCTGTAATCAACGCCGTGTCACATGCATATCTAATGTTGTAAAGAATCTGTCCGACAACAATGAATCTTGTTAGAACTTCTAATTTTCTCAGAAACGCCTCACCGTATAGTTTGAATAAGTCCAGTGTGAAGACACATCCTTGTCTTACACAACGTTCTATTTTTGTATATATTTATGCGTCATGTTCTTTTAGCGGGTAGGCGATCATGGCTCTCTCCCTCCATCCACCCCTTGCAACTTTCAACAAGTTCCCTCCTTCTTCTTCCTCCCTCAGACCACGTTCTGTCATCCATTTGCTTAAGAGCCCGCCAGGTATATCACGCGTTGTTTTCTCTTGTCTCTCTTTCCTTCTATTCGACCCGTGAGTATCAGATTCTTCAGGCCCTCCTTCCTCATTATGTGTTCAGCTGCCTCTTCCTGATATTATGTACAAGCCTCCTCCTTGTTTGCAACG